CCACCTAGCCTATTAGTGTAATCCTGTGATCTCCACACCTTCTAATTAACGGTAAGCTGAGATAAAACAATGTCAATAGTAGAAAAAAAATAATAAAAAAATAGTCTTTTTGGGCGGGACAATGCAAGAATCTTCCATTCACACTGTAAGAGGCATATCCACAATTCCATATCGTAGCAAAGCCAAAGCCAATTAAACTCCCACCACAAGTTTCAACTGTCATTTTTAGCTCTTCTCGTTCGTAGAAGCCCCTCGAAATTCATGGGCAAACAAAGCTGGAAACAATCTTGAAATAGCAAAAACAGAACTCCTAAGTACTACACTGAATTAACACTTTAAGAAGATGAGTTCTGGAACTATTCTTATTACCCCTTATTTCTCTTTCCCTTCCATTTCCAATTCTAATAAATTTCCACGCCCTAAACTTCATTCTAGCTCGAACATAAACTATAGTATTCGCTGCTCAACTTCAAGTCCCGAGTTACCAGTTACTACAACAGGTAATCTTTCAAATTCTAGTGGACTAAAAACAAGAATCATCTAGTATTCTTTTTTTTTTCTTTAATAAAAAAGTTGTTCTTGATAACAATATAATGTGTTGTGTGGGACTGCATCTTGTTCGTGATTAGTACCAGTAAAGACAAATTAAATATATCGTATGCACAGACAGTGTGGAATAAGACTGGGTCTGTTGTTGTTGTTCTTAGTATGCACAGACAGATCCAGGATTTAAACTTGACATGTTCAACTTTAAGTTTCTTAGCACTCAACTACTAGTTGTGCTTTTAAATATATGGTTTCGAAATTTAATATTTGTTGAAATTTTAGTGCAGTTTTCACGTATACTCTATGTTCCGTGTTGAAGATAATGGGTTTAAGTTGAACCTATAGACAATTACTCCATCTGCCTTTGATAGTATGTAATTATTTTGGATTAGTTTGTATTTTTTGATATCTTACTGATTAATTATCTAACAAAGAATGGGTTGATCCATGTTATGATACTTGAGTGGAAAATTTGAAGTTCTATTCAGTGGACTTCGTTGGTGTTTAAAATTTAAATTGGACATGTTCAATGGAGAGGAGCTGGATCCTTGATTGCTAGCCATTTCCTGTTAAAACTCCAATTTCCTGCTATACTCTATCATAAACAAGGACTTGATTGCAGCCCTTCCCCGGCCCCTGCGTGAACACGGGATGCTTCTTGCATCGGGCTACCTTTTTTTTTTTTAACTCTTCATTATGTGTCTAGTACTTGTTTATGTTAGAGTCCTACTTTTGCTAGCTGAAATTAACTTTTTAACATTAATTCTTGAACAGAGAGATTTAGGTATGATACTCCTTTGACTGGTGGAGCATTTGATTTTGAAAAAGCCACAACTTCTCTAACTAGAAAAGCATTGGCTTGTCCAAAGAAAGTTACTCTTGTAAGGCATGGTCTCAGCTCTTGGAATGAAGAAGGTAGAGTTCAGGTTTGTCTTTCATCTTCTCATTTCATGTTCCTCCACCTTCTTTCTTACAAGAGTGTTTTTAATTCCTTGACAATGCTCTTCCCTGTATTGCTAAGTTTTGACATGTATAATGGAAGTACAGAAAAGAATGCCACTTTCCAACTTAGATAACCAGATTATCCTAATTTTAAGTTGCTGAGTCGTTGCCAGAAAATTTAGCCATTCCGGGGTCCATTGAGAACTTGATATTAAAGGTCAATGAACCACTGACAAGGGCATTTGAGTTTGTGCGCCAGCCAGTGTGGCTGAACAATATGAGGCACTCAATCTTCATGTTTCGCACTTAAAACCAAACATTACATGATTTCAATTTTCGTCTAAGTAATCATGCTAACTCAGGATAAGAAACTCAATAGGAGATAACCAAGAAGTGCAAATCTTTTCTGGTGCAAGGCCATTATGTTTAGTCTGGAGGCCCTGGAACAAGAGTGGTGTTGCTAGTCTGAGCTAATACTTGAAGTTAAAATTTTGTTAGTCATGGTTTTGAGGACATGTGCCTAGTTAAGAACATCAAAGTCATCTTTCGATACTGATGCGAGACTTATGGAGCATTACATTTTTCTTTTTGCAAAGACAGGTTATCTGAATTCTGTGCCCCTAACTAAAACATAACTTCCTTGATAAATGATAAGATGTGTTAGTTGAAGTGGGTTTTCCTAGTCCAGGCAGACAAACTTAAAACTGCATTTGAGACTGGTATCTTATCACTAGTTCATCTCTGATCCTGTTGTCAGTTCAACATTTTATTCATGTCAAAAATTACCTTCTCTTTTCAGTACATCAAAAAAGATATAATCTATAGCATGAGATTTCGTTTCTCGTTCAGTGCCTTCCTGGTTCACTCAATTAATGCTTTTAAGACCCTCTCTACTTTCATTATCAGAACCTAAATCCAATCACTGGCACAAAAAAAATATTGCATTTTGTCTTCACACACTCAAGTGTCTCTTGTCCTCCCTTAATCTAGAAAACCAAAGTTGTCAATAGTGAATCATTTTAAGGCTTATATTTCAAGTAAATCCACTTATCAGATGGGGGACAGGGTATAACATGCTCCCCCCCCTTGAGGGCTTGACATCCTCTCAGGCCTGGTCCAAGATTCTAGAGGTAACTCCTACTTCACATAATGTAGCACTTGAGTCGATCTACTTGCCCGACAATTTATTTTCATTCTTTCTCACCCAATGTGGTCGGGCTCTAGCATGTCTCAAAGAGGTAAAATCCTATTTAATGCTGTAAGGAACTCATGTCTTTTAACTTCCTCTTTTTTAATTTGTGACTTGTCTGTTCTATAGCTGCTAACCAAATGGGTTGTACATGTAGGGAAGCTCAAACTTATCTATACTTTCTGAAAAAGGAGCAATGCAAGCAGAAAGGTGCAAGATGGCCTTGTCTGATATGCACTTTGACCAATGTTTCTCTAGTCCAATATCACGCGCCAAGGTTAGAGTATGGCGTTGTGCAATTATCTTTTGCTTACTAAACATGCAGTTATTAAGTGATAACAACAATGTCTTCTGCAGACGACCGCTGAAATCATATGGCAAGAAAAAGAAGAGCCTCTGGTTTTTCTTGATTCCCTGAAGGAGGCCCATCTGTATTTTCTTGAAGGCATGAAAAATGGTCTGCCTCATTCACTGCTGAAATAATGTGATTTTACTATTACCTCTTTTGAGTCACTATAACCTCAATATTGTAACAGGAAGGCTTAATCATTTAAGCTTTTGCATGCATTTAGATCAGTTCAACAGCATTAGCAGTTTTCTAAATGATGTTTAGTGTTTGGAGGCAGAGGATGCCAAGCGCATATATCCAAAGGAGTATACAACTTGGAGAGAAGATCCGTCTAATTTTTGCGTAGACGGTGTATACCCTCTTCAGAAACTGTGGGGAAGAGCATATGAAGCATGGGAAGAAATTTTATTGACACCGGTAAGTTCTAAGTACTGCTTAACTGATCTATGTTGATTGCATTGCAACACAATATACTGATATAGCTGGTTCTTCATCAGGGAGAGAACTTTTTGGTTGTGACGCACAAATCTATTTTACGAGCATTGATCTGCACAGCTCTTGGACTAGGGCCAGAAAGGTACTTCTATACACGGATAGTGTAAATGAACTTGTATAGTATCAAGTCACTTAAAAGATAATTATATGTAATGGTCCAAAAACGTGGGATCAGTAACTTGGAAAATAAGTCTGCTACAACATGTTAAAATACTCTGAGCTTATTCTCAAATCCCCTGTACGATTAACTCTAATGATATTCCGCGCACAAAATTAAACTAACCCTTTAGTTATGACAGCTGCCAAGCCAAATGCTCCTACAGATATTAAAATCAATCCTGGCGTATACCAAAACTTTCTTTCGTCACTATGAAAATTACATGTATTTTTTTATCTATTCTAACAATTCAACTAGTACATATAAAAGTTGGTTTCTTCAGCCACTATTGTTGACAGGTCTAATTTTATATTGATTCAGGTTTCGTTCCGTGGATATAAATAATGGAGGATTATGTGTATTCAAATTCAACAAACAAGGAGAAGCCATGCTTCATTCCCTGAACATGACAGCACATATGTACACAGACCACATCTACCACTACTAAATCAACGGCCATAAGGACTCAAAAGAAGGACAATTAAGATTACAATCACCAGTGCAACAACAGAGAACCGCATCAAACCAGAACAGTTGTCTGTGACTCTGTGTAGTATGTGAGTTATGAATCATTGAACTCTTAAAATAAAATTTTTGTTAGAATAGCATTATAGGTTAAGAACAGCAACAATTTGTAACATGTTCGAATTGGAAATGCAGAGTTCATTATTTCTTCCAGAATGAAATCTCGGTCGGGTAACAGATTTATGTTTTCAGGTTGCAGTTAAATTTCATTCAATCTTTAAATACTATAATGTTGGGAGACGGGTAATGTAATGATCATTTAATCGCGATAAGTGCAATTTCATCTTCTATGGAAGTTTACTTGCCTTGTTGTTCATATCAACCCCACTTTTAGTTTTTTTTAGCAAAAAAAAAAACTTTATGTTATCATTGTATAAAAGTTTAAATATTTTTCTTTGTTCAGTACAAAACTTATGGAAAATTTACCAGCAAAAGAAACATATTTGGAAAAACTCATACTTCATCTATGGCTCTTAAAACACACGCAAAAAAAACAAAAAAAAAAATCTTCTCCCATATCAACTCTTATGTGTCAACAGGGAGTGGAGACCAAATCAAGTTTAGATTATATTAATTAGTACTAGTTTTAACAAATCTTAGTTGCTAATGAGAATGACAAACTACCAACAATGACAACAACGACCAAAAAAAAAAAACTACTATATTTTACAATTTTGTTGTTTCATATATAAACACCGGAATCCTTTAACAAATACTAAATCACAACTGCTACAAAGATCCTTGGTATTATCAACCAGAAAAGATTACAACGTTAAACTAATCTTTGACCATCAAAAGATTGAAACATTAATTATATTTATATTATGTGAAGATAAGCATACCAAACATGACAAAGATGTCTTTAAATCTTTCTTTTCGCATTACAATATTTCAACTACATATAGCATGTATCTAGAAACACAAAAAATAGTACAAAATAGGGCCGGGGGAATGATATTCTTTAAGAAAAGATCAACAAAAAGCTGTAAAATTTCCACGAAGAAGGAGGATTATAAGTCTAAGCTTTGAGAGTGTAAAGATTTAGAACATTGTGAAAAGAACAAAGAAGAAGAAGAAAATAGAGAATAGAAGCTGCAAATCCAGCAATAAGAGATCCAGCAACATGGTCACAGAACTTTGGAACTTGTCCACAAATTGGTAGCCAACCTGCATGACTGTTCCCCTTTTTCCCCACTTGTGCTATTGCCAAACATGCTGATATGCTTGAGTCCAACAGCAATGTCATAATCTACTCCATTTTTTTCACAACAATAAAGAAAAAGATTGAATCAGTCTAAGCCACGAAAATCTATGTAAAAGTTATTACTATCAAGAAAAGATACATACGATATCTGAAATGAGTATAATGCGTCCCAGCAAGTTCTTGGTAGGGGAAAAAAGAACTATGAGGGAATAGGCACTTGCTAGTATATTCACTCCAACAAAGTACCTGAAACATCAACAACTTATTTTAAGTGATGGATTCAGAATTTAAACGTTGTGAGTGTTTTTCGAGTTAAAGAGAATGAGTTCTGAAATGTATATCTAACTCTATTTATACTTATTTTTTGCACATATATAGAGAGAGAGAGAGTTCGAAAATTTTGTGAAATCTATGAGTAAGTCGACATGTACTACGTTCGTGCATGTGATTGACAATAGAAATATTTACTCATGTTAAAGACATTCATGAAAATTATGATCAACTTACTTGAACGTTGGCGTGTTAGCAAATTTGGCTTCAAAGGTCATGCCCAAGACTTGAGCAGAGTCATGGCTGGTGACCATGATAACAATGGCTGCAACACTAGCCCCCAAGGCTAAAAGCCTAAGCAGAAATATGATGATCCTGTTTGCCAAAGTCATAATTATAGGAATAAGAAAATAAGATCTTGTATTAAGAAAAAACAGGAGAAAGACAAAATGGAACTCTAGATTTTAATGTAAAAAGGGAGGCAAGTTAAAGGGCATAAGTGATCAGGAGAGGTAGAAATAATAAAGAGGGAAATTTCTGAGTTAGGAAAAGGCAGATAAGTGGGTGGTAAACTTGTCTTCTTTAGGGGCAAAGGGTCACGTTCTTGGTTACCTAATGAGTGTATACAAATAAACTCGTGCCATTAATATATAGTGCTAGTAATCAATAAGATCCAACGAAACCCTTTTGAGAGGACCCTTTCATGCTATTGCAATTTGGAACTAGTGGCACTTGGCCAAAAAATCATTGACTATCTACCAATAAGTGTTCCTTATAGGCAGGAAGAAAACTATTTAAATCTTAATTAATATGCAAAGTTTATTATTTAATATCAATTGTATTATGTCAGTTGAACTACCAAGTGGTTAATTATATAGTATATGTACGGCGCCTCCCACATTTAATTTGTTACTACCGTCGACAATTGAAATAACATGTTTTTGGCTTCTTCCTATGAGAAAACTTTTTATGTAGAAAGTAGAAAATGAAGAATTAACTTAAATAGTTGGTAACCCAATTGTTTAAATTAAAAATAGCTAACAAATATATAGTATATGTATAATTTATATGTAATATATTTGTAACTATATATAATCAATGTTTGCCGACTATTTGGGTAAAAATTTATATACTATATTAAAAGCGTGAATATCATTAGCGAAATGTCATTCGCCTTTTTTACCCTTTAAAAATAAAGTTCATATGAGATATAATGGTCATTTAATTATTCTCCTAATATTTAGGACTTTGATATTAAACTTTTCCTTATTTGAACTATGTATAAACTCCTAATATTTAGGTATTTAATTTAAACTCAAATAACATTTTACCTATATATAATTCAACAATCATTAGAGAAACCCATAATTATTTGTTAAACAAAAACTACAAAACTACAAAATAATTCTTTGTTAAACAAAAACTAGAAAATTGCAAAATAAAGAATCTACATCGATTTGTGGCTCTTTAACCTAATTCATCAAACTAATGTTAATATAGTGTTTGTATAATAAACCTTCGGCAGTTACTCAAAAAATAAATAGATGAATAAGCCATCTCCATTTCAGACATAAAATAATTCAAAAAAATAGTTTATTTCAAAAATTAAACTCAAAACTGATTTTTCCAAAATCAAATTAAAATCAAAATTAATACTTATAAATGTGATGGAACTTTAGGACCTTCAATTTTAGGTAAAGAATGTTAAAACAGATCTCTCCTTATAACTTATAAATTATTATGGCAACATTTATTATTTTAGCTAAAAAATTACTTATCAAGATCCAATGAGTTAAATTAATATCTTTACCAAAAGATTTTTAAATAAGCAAATTATTAAAATAGAAAATATCCCAACCTCTTTATTTGAAATTTTTTAATAAATTTTTAATATGTATTATTTGATAATTCTTTGAAGAATCATAATAAAAGTATTTTTTAGATTTTAGATTTATTTATCTAGATTTCGCGCGTACTAGTACCTTAGACAATTGAAATCATATTAGGAACTGTTATATTCTTAGGAAAGAATATTTAATGCATCGCCGCTTCATGACGTGATGCCGCAATATCTCGATATCGGCCGACAATAAGTTTTAGATTTTCTTTTTATATTGAAATACTAAATAAAATATTAGTAATACTTACATTGCTTAGCGGTTGGAGCAAAAAATTTATTTCCTTGATCATGTTTCTCCATACTAGCAAACCTCCTTTGTGTTTGTAACCTACATTTGCTAGCTCCAAGTCTGCATATTTGTTTACTTTTCTCCAAATGTGTCTAATTATTGTCTTGCTGGCACTTAGTAAGTATTTACAATCGAATAGCTCTAAAAGAGTGATATTATACGGGGAGAAATTCAAAAATAGCTAGATTTACAAATGGTCATTCAAAAATAGTCATAATTTTAAAGTCATCGAAATTTAGCCACTTTTCATGTAAAGATAAATCTCAACGAAAACACTATTCAAAATCCGGAAAATACTCCAGCATAATATACTGGAATTCCATTATAATATACTGGAACTCCAGTATATTACTGTAGCCAGCAAAGTATGCCGGTCCAGCATAATATGCTGGAAGTTCATACACAGGTGCATCGAACTCCAGTATATTATGCTGGACCGGCATACTTTGCTGGCTACAGTAATATACTGGAGTTCGATGCACCTGTGTATGAACTTCCAGCATATTATGCTGGACCGGTCTCTGTTGCAGCAAAATAGTGGCTATTTTTCAATGACTTGGCAAACGTCAGCTATTTTTGAATGACCAGTCCGAAAACTGGCTAGTCCGTGCTATTTTTACTATTATATGTTTTTTTTTTCGACAAGTTTGACGTAGAATTGTTGTGTAAAGAGTTGTTTATATTGATTAACTGTATATATTTGTGTTATTTTATTTTTACATTATGTAGTACATTTTAATAAAAACTTTTCTCTTCAAAGAAGGTTATGATTTTTCAGTCTTTGTAAATTTTTTATTATACTTCGAATTTTTTTACTCTCCCACCATTTTTGTATGTGCATAGATGAAGAAGCGGTTTTTATACACCATTTTTGTATGAAGAAGGTGCTGTTTATATCACCTTTTTAAGTTAGTGGTTATTTTTCAATTACTCTGCAAAAACTGGTTATATTCCAAACAACAATCCTAAAAGTGGATATCTATGAAAATCATCCTCATGTGGGCCTTTAGACCAATCTGATTCACATAAAAGCCCAATTGGAAACAAATGTGAATATGAAACTTGGGAAACTGGCAAGGCCCGTCAAGCCCCTCTTCTTTTTGAGAAACTGGAATACTAATATTAGTACTACTAAGAACCGATAATATTACATATCATGGAGATGCCACTTAGGGCATTTTAGCCAACTTTGTTATAATTTTATGCATCTGACTTAAAAGAGCATCTAGCTAGCAATGAAAAAGAATGAGGTACTTTAATTTACTTTCTATGTAATGAAAAAATCATATTTTTTTTCTGTCTAATTTACAAATCTATTATTAAGAAACTATTAATTATGAGTCTTAACTTCTCATTATGATTTTATTACCATTGGAAATTAGAAAGGTATGAACATAACTTCTAAATAGAACTTTGGCAACGACGTTGCTATATGTTTCGAATTTTACCTCTCTACATTTTGATCTATCAATAATTATTCCGATCAAATGTAACGAAGTTAATGCAATTATATATAATAACAATATCTCTTATACAAATGCAATAACAAAAAAGTAGAACAAAAAAATTGGTAAATAATTTATGTAGTATTTTATCCTAAATTTATTATCCTAATCCTTGATATCAAAGGAGTATCAAGTCATATAGAAACTTCAATTCAATTGCTTAATTCATAAACTTGTTTAGTCTGATTCCTTTCTTTTATTTGAAATAAATAAAAGAGTGCACAATTGTTTTTCTTTTCTTGAATCTTGTTGCCTTTCCTAATTATAATTCTATCAGATTTTGGTTTACTGCAAATCTATAAATCTATATATACACTATATTAAAAGTGGGAAGCCCTAAACTAGAAAGTTAAATTACCAAATTATCCTTCTAATAATATACTTTAGTAACAATAATAATTAAATTAAAAAATTAAAATACTATTATTTATATTGTGTCTCCTCTAAATAGGTGTGTCCTTTCATTAGTAACTACTATTTAAAAAATTATTTGGAAAGGCTAAGAATTAATTCAGAAAAACCTGAATTAAGATGAAAAAGATGTTTGTCAAGTGCCACGAGAGGCTAACTTTGTCTCATAATTTTCATTTCAATAATCGAAGTTAGGGAACTTCTTCCCCCTCCAAGAGGTATTGTATCATTTCTAACTAGAGCAATGTATACAGTGAAATATGATATGACACGTGGTCGTCTAAAGAAAAGACACGTGGAGTCCAAGACGGGGATGACTGAACACCGAACGCAACCATTCAACTTGTCACCGGAAGAGATAACGTTCATAAAAGTGTATTAAATGCTCTGCGTCCGGTAGCATTTAATAGGGAATATTCTGCAGCATTAAGAGCGACGGTTCGTTACAGAGAATTTGACATTTATGTTCATCGTTACATCTTCATCAATGACCCTCATAATTGGCATTAAAGGAGGGCACGATCTTAGGTCCTCCTTCCCTAGACATAGCTATAAATAGTGAGCTCAGTTATCATTGTAAGGGAAATGAATTTTCTGGCTAAACTTATAATGTATTCTATACAAAGTTTAATACAATCTTACTTTCTTGTTTTTTGATCTTATCATTGTTGTGCTCGGAAACCTTGTTTCCGAAATTGTCATCTATGCCGTTTCATCTACATTTCAAGGCTAAGTATTGTACATTTCTTCAATTATTGCATTATTTCATGATCAAATTAGTTTACTTGTCTAGAAACCATGTATAAATTCAACTGTACCGTTTTACGGGTAAATAGTTTGGCGCCCACCGTGGGGCCTAGACAGCAATGCAATTAAATTGATCCTTGCCTTTTTTACTAACGCGATTTGATTATTTTGTCATAGAAAAAATCATAAAAATGGCATATAACACTGTTAACAACACGCACAAACCTGAAATTCGAAAGGATCAGCCTCATTTCGAGGATTCAATCAGTGACACCCACAATGAAGATAACGACGCCGGGCCGGTGCATAAGAGGCAGTACCCTCAATAGGTTCGGGATGCAACTCTCGATGATGCTGGTGAGGAGAATGTCGTGGATGCGACGAGGGTCCTGCGAGAGCAATAGGCCATCTCACGCGGCATGATCAGGTTATGATATAACTGAAGCAGGCACTATCGGGGGCTTTAAATAATACAAACAGACGAGATCCAATTCCTCCCGGTGTTCCCACAAACCTAACAACGCACAAAGTCGACAACAACACTCCCAGGGGTGAAGTTGGCTCTAACGGGACCGGGGAGAGTAGATCCGGTCTCAACAACGAGAACGACCTGTTAAAAATGAACTTTTATAGTTTATGAGGGAAGTAAACGCCTGCATGGACCAAATCCCGGACGCGCCGCCAATTTTGAAAGGCACAGACTCGAAGAAGTATACTCAATTGTTGTACAAGCCGAGCGCGGCACCAGAACTAATCCCGAAGTGGTTCAAAATGCCTGAAATGCCAAAGTATGATGGGACTTCAGACCCACAAGAGCATATTACCACCTACACAGCGACGGTAAAAGGAAATGATCTAGCTCCCCACGAAATTAAATCTGTGATGCT